TCTCCTAGTCTGTACACAGACCTGGGACTGCCCCAACCCAAGTGCAACACCTTGCACATGGACTTGTTGAGCCTCATTAGGTTCTCGTGGGCCCATTTTTCAAGCCTGCCCAGGCCTCTTTGGATGGATCTCTTTTATAGTGTCAACTGCAGCACTCAGCTTAGGGTCATCTGCAAACCTGCATCCTATCACCTATGTCATTGATAAAGATAGTAAAGACCACCAGTCCCAGGATGGACCCCTGAGGGACACCACTCATCACCAGCTTCCACCTGCACCTAGAGACATTGACCACAACCCTCTGGCTGCAACCATCCAACCAATTCCTTATCCACAGAATAGTCCACCCTTTGAACCCTTATCTCTCCAAGTTAGAGATAAGTATGTGGTGTGGGACCATGTCAGAAGCATTGCATAAGTCTAGGTAGACAACATCAGTTGCTCTTCCTTTGTCCACTGAAGCCATCATTCTAAGAGTAATGGTTGCTGATAGTGTCCTTGCTAACAGGGCCTGGCTGTAGGCAACAGGAGATGAGTTGGCCATCAATCCTCTTTTAATTAAGTACTATGAAATAAAATTTTGACTTTAAAAGCAATGGTTTAGGCAGTAGAAAGAAACAAGCCATTCTAAAAAGCAGAATTTGGGTTCAGTAGGAAGGTAGAAAACAAAGATGTAAGTACAAAGACACTACTTTTTCTTAACAAATACAAACACATTTTTCATACTTCAACATAAGAATTGAATTTCCCTTCTCTCACATTGCTCCATACTCTGAAAACCCAGAATTTTAACTGTCATAATGTAATCTAAAACTTCTTCAAAACTCTGACATTGCTCTTCCAATGTGCTCCCAGCACTGGGAGCTGTTGGGTAAGACAGTAAAATACTCAGTACCACAGAAAAGGGCATTATACAAAATCAAATGACCATCAAGTTTAACATGAAGTTGTAAAAAGTTCCTTCATAGTAGGACGAAAGACCTATTTGCCAGTTCTCCGTTCTAGAAGTAATAATAAACCTCTAAGGTTATATGCAAGTTTAAAGTATGTGTTCTAAAAGCCTGATTCTCATCTGCATTTGTAGATTAGATGCTGTTCTACTGATTTTCTATAAGAAGTGGGTGGATGGATCTCAGCACTGAGCAACAAGTGAACAGGATTTTCTGGTTCTGAGGTCTGAGACACTTCCAGTTTTTATAGATACTCTACACAACCTTCAAGAGAGAGTTCATTATGTGAGATCGGTAAGCATTAAAAAATAGTAACTCATTCAAAATTGCAAAACTCATCTTTTGACTCTCAAAGCTGATGAAGAAGAGATTAAGAACCTCAAAAAATAAATTCTTCTGAGATTTCAAATCTGCAGAAACTCTACATTTAACACGTTTGGTTGTGAACATAAGGGCTGATCTGATTATCAGTCAATTAGTATAACATCTGTCATTTCCTTTAAACAGTTTTCATCCCCATATCTTGAACACCCAGAGGAGACTTCTTTGCATCTGGAAGTAAATCCCGAAGTAAATTGTCCTTGGCTTCCACCAATATCTGAATTTCAGTTTCTTTTTTCAAGGGGTTTTCTTCTTTTGAAAGGGGAGCTTCTCCCCCTGTTGGAGAACACTGAGCACTTCCACAATCCATGCTAGCTGTACCAGTCTGTTTTGGAAACTGGAAGCCACAATCCGGATTACATATTTTAACAACAAAAGTCACATTCACCTGTGTTCCTCCATTACCTGAGAGTTCTGTCAAATAAGAAAAAAACACACAGATCAAGCAAGGAAGAAAGCAGCCCGGAACAACGTGTTGGATTCTTTATCAAGCTCTTTGGCTTAAAAGTTCAATTACATACTCTACATCTTCTTCCTTTGCTTGATTTAGGCAAACTGGTGGAAGTGATTCTGCAACTTTTTCAGTTTTTGGGGGTACCTCAAATCCAAAAGTCATCCCTGATAGAAAAAAGCTGTAAAAATGAATACAGAGCTCTGGATCCCAGTCAAGTCTCTGCTTATGGTGAATGCTTCAGACAGCATTCATTTCTTACTGCTCTCTCCGTCTCTTTGTCCCACTCCCATCACTCTGATCCCCAAAGTACAGCAGATAATTTTCTCCTCTGAGCAGGCTCTCTTTACTGTTCTAGGCCAACAATTTAAAACAACCTTTTTCCAAAAGTAGCTGGGCACTTTTTCTGTTGAATGTGGATTTGATGCTCTACCCTCTCACTTAAACTTCTAGAAAGATTTGTATTTGACAACCAACTGTCAAGAGCTTCTGGAATGTTCAGATATACATTCGTTGATACTCTTATCTGAACTTGCAGAGCTGTGCCTGTCTCCACAGTGAAGCTTACACCCTTCTGCAGCTGCATAATGTTGTTGGAAACTTTCTTAGCACTATCTTTGTTATTTATGACACTGTCTCTTGCAGATCCAGCTGGGTTATCCAGGGAGCTGCTGCTTGAGCCAGGAGTTTCCAGGAGTTCCCAAGAGATGCTGCTCCTCCTGTTCAGAACTGCTGGAGTTTTGACAAAAAAGTAAGAAATGCAGAATTGCACACTGCTTCTCTGTAGGGGAAAAAGGCTGGAACAGAACAATGTAAACTATTAATCTTTTTTAAGAGTGTTAACAAAAAGTGGTCAATACTTAGCTCAAGAAACCACTGATAGCAGTCATCACTATGCAAATGTATGCCAAGTAAAACTCATACTAGCTCACTGACCATTCAATAAGCTCAATGGGACAGGTTATGTGAGTTACACATTCCACTCTAGCTTGAAGTCCAGACCACTCCTTCCTCCCTGTCTTTCTGCTGTGCAGTTTTCTTATCCTCTCAATTACATAAAACTGCATGATTTCTGAAGGAAAGGAATGAGTGACACCGAATCCACTGCTTCAGTTGGTTGTGAGTATGCAAGGGCTGCAATTGAGGAAAGATGGTTCATTAGCACCAAAATTTGTTTCAGTTGCAACAGCTGCTCTTTTTGCTAGTGGAGCCTCTGCTCCCAGAATAAACTCCGACTGTATGTTTAGTACATACTGTGTGAAAGTGTTCAAAGTTGTACTCTATTAACTTTGCAAGCTGCTATAAATTTCACTATTAAGAAGACCCTCTGTATAAATTCCTATTATTTCCAGTATTATGTAATTGAGAAAAGCTCTCACTCATGACCAACTATGGCTGCAATTGTTTAATCATAACTATGAGCACTTGATAATGTGTAATATTTACATTTTGTGTAAAATATGTAACAAACAAGTTCCAATAGGAGTACAATGTTTTCACAGTTGTCCAACTCCTCTGGTACACCACATGTTTAAAATCTGAGGAACATGAGAGCTCTGAGTGGGACATCAGCCTTAGTGTATCTTTGTACTGAGCTCAATTTCATTTCGTGATTTAATAAAGACACTTGAAATGCACACGGAGTTCCTGGCATATTTACTTAATTATAAATTTCAGTTGGTGCATGCTTGTGTCATCAATGAATCTACATGACGCAGAAGTTTCAAAGAGAGCCAGCACCTCCTAGGATACATAAATCTGTCACCTGCTGGGTTCAAATTAGCAGGAAATGAGGTGACAGTACTTCCAGAACTGTTTGGTTTTGCTTCATGAATCTTTTTTTTTTTTTGGAGAATAAACAATACTCCAAAACAGCAATTAAATTATTATTAATTATTACCAGGACCAATAGCAATGGCCCTGTTACTGATCCTGAAAATAAAACTGAAGCGGGTAAGTTATACAGCAGGTCAATCTGACAATGGACTGAATGAGAAGCAACAGTTTTCAGTCCAACTAAACTTAAAGTTCAGCTAAACTTAAAAGTGCCAGGGAGGTCTGATGCTCACATTTAATATCTCTCTCGTTACATACCCAAGTCTCATTTTCAGACTCCACTGGTTCTTAAAACTGAATTTTCCTGTTCTGAAAAGTGAAGACAGACTTTTCACCACGGCCACAAAAAGTATCTCATTAAGCTAAGAGCAATTCATTAAAAGCAAATTCAGGCAGTCCAGAATGCTCTTTTGGACAGACTATGAACAGCAGAGAATGCTGTTCACACTTGTGAACGCTATAAAGATTGGGCTGCTGTAAGTCAGGCTTGGCCAAACATCTAACACATAAACCTTTTCTTCCAGCTTCTTAATAGCACTAACTCTTAGGAAGTGCATTGTATAATCTAATTTCGGGCTTCTTAGAAGCACATAAAGAATTACAGTGACTGTGGAATGCAGCAAGGCAGGACAGATGTGACATTATGCAACTCAACACAAGCAGTGTCACTGAATTAACTCAGCTCTTCTGTTTGGGTGCAGGTAATTAGTTTTGGAAAGAAACTGTCAACTAAAGATAGTCTTGCTTCCCAGCTAGACAGAAGTGACTTTAAACGAGTTAACAGCTCACCAATGATGTAGGAGATGTCAGGCACAGAGTTCAGAATGACAGGCTGTGTTACTACTTCACCATTGTTGGAAGTTGAGCTTTGGCTCGGGAGGAGGTTTATAACAGTGTGAGGTAGAGCTGTGGCAACTGAGTCATGGCAAACAGTGTCATTCATGCTGTTTCCTGCAACAGCCACTGATTTACAACTGCAAGAAACAAAAAGAGAAGTTAGGAAAGAAAGCAACTCTGTATTCAGTTCAAAATTGCTATTAGACAGTCTGGCTTACACTGTATGTGGTGTGCAGCTGGTATCATAAGATTCCTCATCTGAATCTTATGAGGGACAGGGCTTACATTCTGTGTCTGTGCTGTCTGTTCCTTAAAAGAAATAGAAAACTCCAGTTAATCATCTAGTGAGAAATAAGAATGAATAATCTAAGCCTGTGGTGCAGATCCTGAAATTGATACAGAGGCAGTACACAACATACAGCCTGTCACGGGTGAGATTAATCTGAAACACCCCACCCAAACACCAATCAGAAGATTCATCAGGTGTTATTTTGGTACTCTTGATAGCCAGACATTTTCAGACTGGTAAAACCTGCCAAAATGTTAAAAATGGGGCATTAGAGACAACAGAGGAGCTTTTTTCCAATAGTCCCTGGCAGGCTGATCACCTACTGAACTCTATTGGAGTTCTGCATTATTATCCTCAATTATATCCAACATTCTACATCTTTGGATATTATTTATCATCTTGACACAGCTATATTTATCAGAGCAGTGAATTTCAACATCTAATACAGAGAGACTCATTCTACAGGGCAGCATAGAATCACCATCACCTAATTAAATCAAAATTCAGCTGGAAGCTCTGCTTGGAGTGGGGAGCTTTTTGATATATGTCAACAAAAGATACCCATATTCTGTTCCCTTGGACATGCCCCTTGGAAATACTGTTGTGCTATGTACTGCTTACTTGCTGTGACAACGCTTCCCTTCAAATGAACATGTAGCTGTAGGGAATTAAGGGAATATTCCTGTAATTTACTCAGTTGGAAGCAGATTCAGAAATAACCTTTCTTATAATTCACCAAATTGGAGGCAGATTTAGAAATATTTACGGACTATTAAGGCAACAAATAACCATCTTCGAACCATACAACCACATTGTGTGTGGGTTCTGAGAGCTGAGAATTAAATTACCTCTTCTGGAGACTCGGTAACCTTTCCCACATTTTTTATGCACTTTACATCTTTGAAATGCAGTACTTGTTGGGTGAGCAGCTGCAAGTCCCATCCTGTGATAGCATGCACATTTGATGCTCTACAAATCCTGGTTTGAAAACAAGAATAAAACAAGATTACATTAGCAACACTTCAAGTTGTGGTCTGCAATGTTTCGGGTGAATATGAGGTATGTTCACACACCACAAACTAAAGACAATTTTGCAGTTTCTGGCTAGAATATCGTCTTAAAGCAAATATGCTACAGGCCCCCAACATCTACATTTTTAGAAGAGTTTCGTCTGTCTTGAGAGGTGAAATTTGCATCTATACCATTCACACTTGAAACTCTGTATCTGCAGCTGCATCACAGCGTGTCATAACCATAAATACACCTCCAAGGCTGTGCTCTGATTGCTTCCAAAATATAACAAGCAGCAAAAGCATTAAGAACAGGACTATACAAGTGATAGACAAACACTCTAAGAGTGTTTCATAGAATCATAGAATGAAAAGGTTTGGAAAGGACCTACAAGATCATTTAGTCCAACCATCCTCCTAACACCATTATATTTAAACCAAACCATCTCTATGGGCAGGCTGTAAAAGGCAAACACCACCTTCACAATGCACAAGTACCTTTCCTGCAGGGTGGAGAGGAAGCAAAGCACTGAGGAGACCAATTCCAGGTGGCTGTAATGGTGTCAGGTAAACAAGGGATGCACTTTGTGTCCATGCTGCGACTGCAGCTCTCTGCCTTACGTTGACTTATAAGAAACAAAACAACAAAGGAAAGGTGAACGCACCAAAGCAATGAGTTTCTGCAGCTCCTAGCACTCCAAGCAATACCAAGAGCTGCTCAATTTCAGCTTCTCCAGGATCACAGTGAGGTGAACAGACAGGTTTTAGCAAGCGGTTTTTGGTGCAAACCAATGCCTCTCACCAGAAACAGAGTTGAGTGCAGTAGTTACAATAAGTATGAGCTCTTAAGTATTCTTTTTGAAGAATGAAAAACAGTCAGTTGCCATTTCCCCCTTGTATGAAAAGAGGAAGAAGATAACAGCCAATGTCTCATATTCTGTGCAGAAATATCCTGAAGAATATACTCAGGAAGAGGCATCATTAAAAAAGTCTTTGGAACTTCTTGGAAAATCTCCATTCTTCAAAACAAGTGGCCCTGGAGATGAGCCAGGGAAATTGCTTCCACAGTTTGTTTTTCCATGTACTCACTTGAAGCCTCCCCCATCCTGCTAATGACATCCTGCTAGTGACTTAGGCTAACATTTGTGATGCACTATCATTAAAAAATAATAGTAATTCAAATTCGTAACAACAAAAATAAAGATTTTGGCTCTCCTACAACATATTGCCCAGAGTCAAAACAATAAAATTAATCTTAGAATCACAGAATCCTAGAATGGGTGGGTTGGAAAGGACCTCAAGACCATTCAGCCCCAACTCCCTGCCATGGGCTGGGTGCCCCCCACCAGCTCAGGTCATCCAGGGCCCATCCGTGGCCATGGGCACCTCCAGGGATGGGGCACCCACAGCTCTGGGCAGCAGTGCCAGCACCTCACTGCCCTCTGAGTAAAGGATTTCTTCCTAAAATCCAACCTAAATCTCCCCTCTTTTAGTTTAAATTAAGAAGAGGAGGTATTCTTATAGACTTAACAAACCACAACAGAAAAAAGTTCCAATCACAAATTATCATCTTTCCCTTGCTGTGTTTTTATCGAGTGATGCTCTACAGATCTCTCAGGACATTTTCAGTTAATTCAAACAACTGTGGCTGTTTCAGCACATACTGATTTCCTGCTTAAACTTCCGGATCTCTGTGACAGGAACTCAGCACTTATGGAGACAAATTCTGTTTGCTCAGCACGTGGCGAGACAAATATACAGGGCTTTTTTTTTGCTGTCTCTAATACAACCATATAATGCAAACTTCCTGCAAAACCTCTGTTAAAGTATCCATGCACCTGTACCCTAACGTAAATAAATAACCAACCACTCTCCACACACTCCAATCTGCAATCAGCTTTTGCTAACAAAGGAACATTAATAATTGTCACTGCAGTGTCAGACAGAACCCCAGAGCAGACAGTTTCTGTAGCCTTGTACCTGGTCTCTCTCTGATCGTCGTCTGCAGTGTCTGATTTATGCTGAAAGACAACAAAACTCCCTTAATGAGCAATTAGAATTAACCTGCCCAGAGGAAAGCCCCTTGTGTAAGTGATATGTCAAAGTACAGACATTAAGCTCTACCTCACGCTCTGTTTTACAATTTATCTGTTGTTCGTGGGCTTTGTTCTGATGTGGGTCTCAGGCTGGAGGGGCTCTGAGCACTGATGGAGCTGTGGGTGCCCCTGTTTATTGCTGGACCAACCAGCCTTTTAAGGGTCCTTTCCAGCTGAAGCCATTCTGCAATTCTACATTGTTTAATTTTTGCAATTTCACTACTGTTCCATTTCTTTTTTCTAACAGTTCAGTTAAATATGCCTCAATCAAAATACCATACAAAGCTGTGGTTACAAGAGCTGAACTAAGTACACAATCCTCCTGATAAGCCCCAGCCAAGTCAAACCTGCAAGAGAATGCCAGTTCTGTGTCCTGTTGGAAAATATTTGTTGAGCATTTTATTGTCTTCCTGTTGAGAGTGAATTATAACAGCAAAAATTGGATGCTTTTCAGGTGTGTCAGTAATCAAAATGTGGTATGGTTGTCTGAGCATTGCCTGAATTTGGCTGTGTAAAAGAACAATTTAAACTAGAACCTACCTGGAGGGCACTTGCTGCAACATTTCTTAAGTCTTTCTTCATAGAATTCAGTGCCGGGGTCTCTGCATTGTGCAGAGGCAGTGAATAATTCTAGGAGAAATGAAAGGAAAATCATTAGTCAGCAATCCATCCTGGCCCTTCAGTGTAATCAAAGAGACAAACTCTTAAAGGTCAGCGAAGGATTGACCTTTTTCTCATGACTCAGCACGAGAAAATACCTTTGAGAAAATACCAGAGGAAAACTTCCATTCTTACCTTTGGGACTGTGGGGAGCTGCATTTTCTATGATTCTAAAATACCTGAGGACCTCCTTTGCAAAAGGAAATACGCACTCACTGGCCAAGATAAAAGAAGCAAATGTTAGGTGGCATAAATGTAGGAGTTTCCTACTGGAGCAGAAAGGAGCTGTTCAAAGCATACAGAGCTGAGGAGATTGTTCCATGTACAACCTACACATGCCTAGAGAAGTACTTAAAAAATATGATGAAAAAGAGAAATTTGAACAGGAACAAGCCCTCCAGAGGCTGGTAATGAAAACATCCTTCCTCCTTACTGAAAGAAACATGTTGATTACCTATTGTGTTTTCACATTAGTAGACTTAATGCTTGGCACTCTCAACAACTGCTTAATGGGAACCCAACATTTTTTTATGCAGCATCTTGAAATGCAGCTTCCAGCGAAGAAAACTGAATTAATAAAGGGGCTTTGGCACAAGGATTGAAGACTTTGAAGCAGAACCATGAGGTTGGCTTCAACATTATCAATGAGATAACCAAAAAAATTAGGCTTTTCAATACCTTCTAGGCTTGCTGATGACTGTTAATGCTGAAGTTGATAATAGGCAATGAGTAGTAGAGGTACAATGCTATTTGCAAATATGAGCTGATAATGTATTCTGCTGAAGGGCAGGGAAAGGGCTCTGCTATCCAAACTATTTCATGTCCTTTCGCTTATTAAAGAAAGATCAAAGTTGTATTTTTGCCGTCGCTATGATAAACTTCATTCATGCACATACTTAAGAGCCTTTTTAAAGAGGAAAATTTCACTGAAAACACATAGAAAAAAAAAAAAAGAGAGAAGGAAATGCACCAAACCACATCACAAATTATCCTGCTGGTGAGGCTTCCCAGCAAAAAAAATGTTGTTATCACATCCTCTGTGTTCTCTGCTGCAATTACTGTCCGGAGTGTTAGAGGCACAGGAAAAACTGCTGGTCAATGGGTCACATCTGTTCCTCTTAACCTGTGCTTGAAAGGATATTTCTGCTGACTGATAACAACTCTGAAAGTTTATCTGCTGAGCTGTGGCTCTCAATGGCGTGCAGTTGACAATTTCTTGCCAACTTACCTTAAAGACCATTATGGGAAAACCAAAAGGACTCAGTGATTCACCATCATCAAATCATTAAGGTTGGAAAAGACCTCTAAAACCATCCAGTCCAACCATCCACCTACCACCAGCATTGCCCACTAAGCCACATCCCTTTAGTGCCACATCTCCATAGTTCTTGACCCCTTCCACCTCCCTGGGCAGCCATGCCAGTGCCTGACCACTCTTTTGGAGAAGCACCTCTTCCTAATATCTAACCTACTGCTGGCTTATGGGATTTGAAAGACTTCATTTAATTTGACAGGTGCAATTGGAAGGTGAAATGTTTTATCCATCTAGCAGCAGGGACACAAACGTTAGTAAGCATCTCTATTGCAATGCAAATCAGTCAGATTAGGCAACACATCTTGGTGCTGGGACACCAGCACAAGAAAGATGAGAGATGGCCCAAAGTAGCAAGGGGTTACTTCTGGGCTTGCCCTTGACTGCACAACTCACTGGAAAGATTTTTGCAATGCCTGTATATTAGCAATAACTGAGAAGTTACATCCAAAAAGCCATCCAAATTACTCAAGATCCTCTCTCCACAGCTGCTGCATTGTTTGCATCGCTTTCCCATCTGCACTACAGACTTCCATGAAACAAGATTCGTCACTAAGAAGAGAGGACTAAAAGCAGCCTCCATCCACCTAAGAAGTCAGTGCTGACTCTTCTAAATATGTCTACACAATTGCTTCCAAGATTCCCACTATCCTACCCACTGGGAGATAAATTAGCAGACTACATCACTGCCTCGTGGCTTTCAGGGCTGCAGCTGCAGTGGAACAGCACAAGTGAAAGCCTACATATGGAGGTCAATCACAACTGAGAGCCCAGTATCTGTGCCAGAGCTGAGCCTGAGTCACGATGGGAATTCAGACTTCTTCAGAACTAAAGGGGATGAGAACATGGGTGAGGAAGGCCAAGATCAGAAATCATGGCATATGACAGTGAAAAGCATTCTCTAAGTGCTCAATGCTAATTAGAGCAGAAGTTATTTCTATTACCTCCTGCCTTACAGCTTGTATCCATGGACTTCATCTGTAATTAAATTTAAGAACTTCAATACTAGAAATAAAACAAGCTTATGATAGATAGATAGATAGATAGATAGATAGATAGATAGATAGATAGATAGATAAATATTCAGCCATTCGTATAACTTTCAGTTCCACTCAACACAGTCATCCAAAACAAAGAGATTTATCCCTGTTTTTTAATCCTAGCTCACATTTCTACACCATTTCTTCTTCAATCTTCAAACTGAAGCTGTCAAACAAAGCAGCTTAAACAGGAACTGCATCTGGCATCTGACATTCTTTACGCATGTGAAACCACACTGAAGTCACCAAAGACTGATGTAAAAATCTGTTGCTATGGAAAGGTCTCAAAGTACAGAGATACCACTTGCTGAGCCACCAAATGTGCTAAAGACAGGAAAAAAAAAAAAAAAAAACCCACAAAATTCTACTGAAAATATGTATATTGGTCACTTAGAGAAAGAATTCAATGGAAGATTAAGGTCGTCTTAAATAACTGCAATTCTCACCCAAGTCAGCAGGAGTTGAACCAGGACATCAGGCTTTAATAGTGAGACTCAGAGCATAAATCTTTTAAAGTTGCTTTCCTTCACGCATCACTGCAAGGTTGGGTTAAGATTAAGGTCTATGATTGGAATTGTTCTCCCATCCCATGGGAGGTATGCACAACAGAAAGCTTCAGGTGCCCCACAGCCCTTCTCCCTTCAGATAAATTAGGTGGGGGGGAACAAGAAAAAACGTGTCACTCAGGAGCTGTTGCTCTGCCAGCTTTTCTCCTCCAAAGATAAACATCTGCTCTCTTTAAATGAGTAAAAACTGATGTACAGTGGCCATTTGCAGCATTTGGTTTGCCATGAGCCCGAGGGCCTTGCAAAAAGTGACACTGAGGCTTTTCTCTGTGCTCTTTACCGTGACAGCATCATGCTTAGGGTGAGAGAAGAGTTAGCTCCTTTTGAATACAAGCCCTCTGTTGAGGGAGGCAGCAAGAAGCATGGCAAATCTCCAAGCTCACTTTTTGGTGAGAAGGTCTATCACGGTTCTAAGAATCCCACATCCATCCTACCATACTGTGTCCAAGGTATTTGGAATTATGGGATCACCTGAGTTGGAATGGACCCTTCAAGGCTATGGGGTCCGACTAACTGGAAGGAACAGGGACACCCGCAGTTCCATCAGTGCTCAGAGCCCCATGCAGCCACTTAGTGAACCAATAGTACCACCATACAACCCAGGGCTGAACTCAGCCTTTGCCTTACCTAAAGGTTCAACTACTGTGACGAAAGATACATGGAAATGACCCCCATGGCACAAAAAAACCCATAGAGCTGGGACAGACTCTGAGCAACAGGACAAGGAGACTAAAAGAACTAAAAGAAGAGAGATTGAGATTGGATATAAGGAGATTTTTTTTTCAATGAGGGCAGTGAGGCACTGCACAGACTGCCCAGAGAGGTGGTGCAGACACCCAAGGTCAGGGAATGGGGCTCTGAGCACTGATGGAGCTGTGGGTGTCCCTGCTCAGTGCAGGGGTTGGACCTGTTGGCCTTGAGGGTCCCTTCCAACTCCAACCATTCTGTGGTTTTGTGGTCTCCAAAGTCTTTTCCACGTTTATCTTATGTGCTTTCAAATCAGATGGAAAAAGGTTAGTGATGTATCAGCATAGCATATAAACAATCAAAGACCCCACTGAGCTCTTCGGTTTAAACAACTGAAGGACTCCTGCAACCACAGAATTCAGTAACAGCACAGAACAGCCACAGCTGCATCACATCAGCCCTTACAAGTGCATCCAAGGGCTCTGCTATGTAAATAGCGATGGTGCGAGGGATGCAGCAGAGCACGACGAGCTTTTTTCAAGCCCCTTCGTCGAGGCTTTGGGAAGCTAGAAAACACCAACTGCAAAGCCAAAGGGAGCGGGGCGAGCTTGGACGATACTTGGACCGTGCTTGGAAGCGCTGCCCCAGGCTCCCGAAGCGCTCCGAGCTCCGCCCGCCGCCCCGCCGCCCCCCGGCCGCCCCCCGCACTCACCCGTCCGCCCGCAGCGCGGAGCAGCGCGGCTCCATCGCAACGCACAGCGAGGGCTAGGCGGAGCTGAGGCTCTGTGACAGCGCCGGGAGCCGCTCCGCTGCCGGCGGGGCTGAACCGAGGGGCTGCCCGCCCACGAGGGACCGCGCGGGGTTGGAGCCGATGGTGGGATGTTAAAAGCTGCGTGGCTTCCAAGGTGCCCCGAGGAGCTGCAATGGAGCTGTTGGAGAAGAGATGGGACATCGCAGACACAAGAAGTGCGGCTGTAGGATAAAAATCCGGGACGTGTTTAATTCATATCACACCGAGATTGAAGTTACTGAGCTTGCAAGGCTGATTGGTCATCCAGAAAGTTGTTATAAGGAAAAAACCCAAAGCTTCGTTTGTGCCCAGCCCCGAAATACAGCCTGATTGCTGAGCATCCCTCAGCGGGCACAGCCAGGTCAGTGCAGTCATTCCGAGGCTGTGGATGAACAAATTGCTGTCCTTTAACATGAAACTGACATTGCTGTGTTGCTGTAGAAGGAATGGTCCGTGCTGGGCACAATGAACACTTGCTGGAAACGAGGGAATGGCCTCCAGTCTTTAACGGGAAGTTTTCAGTTCCTCCTCCCATTGCTGTTTCTGTATGCACAACCTCTGCCCCCAAAACACGTGAATTCTATTTCCTCCTCCCCTCCCATAGCTCCCATTGATGTGGCAGCACTGAAACCACAGGAAATTGTCATCTGAGCATTCCTGAACACAACAAACCAAGGACAAACAGAAGGACATACAGCTCACTCACTGCCTCTCCTGCAGGACAAACTACATGGAGTGACAGCAGGTGTTTCTAGGACTTATATTATGTTCTGGACTTGCAGAGAACAGAAGAATTCAAATAAATACTGGAACTAAGAACACTTGGAATTAGAACCAGGTCTCAAATGTACCACGTGCAGGTAGATCATCCATTGCTGGACATCAGTGACGAGGTCCCATAATGCTGAGATTCTCCCACTTCATTTCTGGGGCTGTGGGCCCAAGAAAGCATCAATTTCTTGTGATTTATTTCTTCAGTCACAAAATCTGCATAGCATACATTCCTTTATATGCTGAGGTTGAATGGATGAAGGACATCCAGTGTAATATATGAAGACTTTCATAAAGCCAAAGAGGCTCCATACCTAAAGGTCATTCTAGAGTCAGCTTAGGAAAGGCCAGTTTAAGGATTTCCCAAAAGATGACGGGACAGGAAAGTCAGAGCTGTTTAAAAAGCAGGAAGGAAAGAGCACAGCACAACTGGCATCTTTCAAGACAAAGAGCAGGTAGCAGTGGGGTCCTAAGAATCAGTGCTGGGGTCAGTTTTATGCAGAAGCTTAGAAAAATCATAGGATGATTTAACTTAGAAAATCATAGAATGACACAGCTTAGAAGGAACCTTAAAGATCACAGAGTTTCAGATCCCACCACCAACTCAGGCTGCCCAGGGCCCCATCCATGGCCCTGGGCACCTCCAGTGATGGAGCATCTCTGGCAGCAATGCCTCACTGCCCTCTGAGTCAAGAATTTCATCCTAATATCCAACCTAAATCTCCCATCTTTTTTGACTTTAGAACCATTCCCCCTTATCCTATCCTCCCCTGTCTTGGTCTTCTGAAGTCACCTGTGCAAGGACAACAACTCTGGGCAGCCTGGTCTGGTGGTTGGTAACCCTGCCCATGGCAGGAGATTTGAAACCAGATGATCTTTGAGGTCCTTTTCAACCCAGGGCAATCTATGATTCTACGAACAACAACATATCAACATATATATCTCCTCTTCTTAAATGTATGGTTCAGGCCTCCAGCAGAACACAGTGAGGTTAGAGAAGATAAGGATGAGGCCAACTAAAATAACCATGGCAATGAAGCGACTTAGATAAGAAATATAAAATGATAGGAATGCAGGCTTGGATGCTGGGGAGGATGCAGACAAGAATCATTAAGGCAACTCAGCATTGCGTTACATTCTGTAACACAGGAACTAGTGGCACTCACTGCAGTCAGTCAGAAGTCAGCTTAAAAGCAGTATCTAAGTACTTCTTTACACAGTGGGAGGTAACTGTCTGTAATCTGCTGTCATGGGGTGGTTGTGGAGGAAGATTATACCAGGAAACTCAAAAGAGATTAAAACACCAAGCAATGGCAACAAGAACACTGAAAGCTGAGACAAACTTCATCCAGTTCCAGCTGATGCTGCAGAAGTAGGAGGAATGACAAGAGCAGATATTAACTGCACTTATGTGCTCCCCCTAAATAGCACAGAGATAAAATATTAGGCAACTTGCACAGTGAGCCTGGACTAAGGAGGTGATTTTGTGCTTCTCTATTCCTTTTGTTGGCTCTCAGACAAGATGCTGAAGTTGCACTGCTGTTATCACAGTCCTCTGTCCAGGATAAAACTACAAAGAAATTGTTTTTGTGGTTCCTTCTTTTCTGACTCTTAAGGCACACTTTGTCACCCTGTTCATTTCCTGTGCTCCTGCACAAAAACACAGTCAGCACTACAGCATCTACAGTTATCAAACATGCAGCATTAAAAGACCTGAAACTGTGTAACAAGGGGCAGCTGACCACAAAACCAGAATTATTTTTGAGGAACAGACATGCAAATCAGTGTCACCGTGATGAATACGAACAATTCTTCTAAAACAAGCAGATATTGACAACGTTAAAGGAAATAATTGCTGTGCCTATTATTATTTTTTTTTTAGTAGAAACCCAGTTCTTCTTTTCCCCTTTGGCAGTCAGCATTGCCCTTCACCCATAGTTCATTCAACATCCAAACGTTCAGCCAGTCTTCAATCAGAAGAGGATGTTTTCTGCACTTAGGAATGATTTCATAATCACAGAATCATAGGATGGCTTGGGAAGGGACCTCAAGAATTGAAGAAATGCGAATCAGGCTTAAAAACAAATAGAAGGATTGGCCTAAAGTACAATGGAGAACAATGTGAAACATGGCTGGCTCTCAAGATTAACTCAGAATTCCATCCAGAATTTTCAGAGCTAATAGGAGTAATTTTTAATTCCATCCCTTCATGCAGAGAAAGCAAGCTGTGAAACTGGAGTTCGCATCCACAAGTCCTCTGAATTCTTTAACTTTGATTCCAGCTTGTTTCCAGCATGATACTGGGGAGAGCAAGGAAAAGAGAGAAGTGTTTGATGTCAACCAGTGGTTTGGATGATCCTCTCATTAGTTGGATGAAATAAGTTGAACGTTTTTGGCTCTTTAGTTTTGTGTAAGACACTCTGGGTTTACCTCCCTCCGTGTAGATTCAGGCTTAGTGTCACAATGGATGTTTTTGTAGCTTCACACACCTTCTCAGCCAGCCATCACTTTTCAGTGGCTGTGGTGGGGTGATGGAATTCCTTTCCTTCCTCTTCCACAGGAATCATGACATCGTCCCCTGGAAAGACCTCTGTCTCCTGCTCTGGATAGTGCATTGACAGTTCCTCTTCTATCTTTTCCTGGATATCAACATCACTTTCATATCCCCTAGCAGTACAGTTCTTGATACCAGGTGTTTTTGAAGACCCCACGATAACAGTATCGGCGTTCATGATGAATATTTTTCCTGAGAAAGGAAAAAAAAAAGAAGAAATGCTGAGCACAGGCAACAATACTGCTGTTCTTAGAGATGGCTCCTTGTCATGCAAAACTTGGACTTGGTATTCAGTTTTTATTTTCTCCTTTTCTTAGTCAGACATATGCAGATCAAACCTCTCACAAGGGACAGCTGAAAAGCTATTTCCCAGATCTAACCCAAGGGTGTTGCTCTTTTGGCTCCTTGGAATGAGAACTGCCAAGAGCTTCCACCTTCCTTCTTATCATCAAGCACAGCCAAAGCCCATGGCAAGCTTATCTACAACCTGAGTGCCTTCCACAGGCCCAATGAGTACCAGCTGGGACCCTGGTTAACCTCTTCTGCAAAAGACAGGCCTCCTTCCTCCCCTGCTTTGCACTGTCATGAAGTACCTAACTCACAAAACTAACACTGGTTTAAATCTAAGTTAGAGAAAGAGCTGCCCTGGGCAAGCTGATCTGCTGGGTGGCAACCAGCCCACAGCAGGGGTTGGGGCTGGCTGTGCCTTAAGGTCTCTTCCAATCTATGCCATTCTAACATGGGGGCTACATTCCAGCATTTTACAGGCTAGCAAACAAGTTTTGGCTTTGCATGCCCACTTTTCTTTATGATTTGAGCCCATGCTGACAGACGGCATCTTCGTAAGCAACACAGAGAGGACTGGAAAAGGAGTAGGGAATGGTAGTGAGTTCTGCTGTTCATTTCTTTTGACTGCGTCTCTACAGACAGCTTTCTCCCTCCCCAGACAGGGAGTAAGCATTTTGCAAAAG